TCGAAAGATGGTAGCCGAACTTCGAATCCAACCAACTCTCGAACACGAGATTCATGCTGCACAAAGACGTGACGAATATTTTTTGAAGACTTATGAACTTGTCTCTAAGGGAGAGAGACAAAATTTTACTGTGAATGATGAAGTTTTATTCTACAAGAATCGTTTGGTAGTTCCTAGTGGCGAAGTGAGAGAACGTTTAATGCGTGAATCTCACGAAACCACGTATACCATGCATCCTGGTAGTAATAAAATGTTTCAAGATTTCAAGAAGATGTATTGGTGGCCCACAATGAAGCGTGAAATTTTGGAGTTTACGACCCGATGTCTGACGTGTCAACAAGTCAAAGCTGAACATCAAGTGTCAAGTAAATTGTTGCATCCGCCTACCATTCCTGAATGGAAGTGAGAACGAATTACGATGGACTTCGTAATTGGAATTCCATTGTCAATCAAGAAGAATGATGTTGTTTGGGTAATCGTTGAAAAATTAACCAATTCATCTCATTTCATCTTGATTCGATGTGATAAGTCATTGAAAAGGTTGGAAGAATTGTACATCCGTGAGATCGTAAGATTACATGTTGTGCTTCTATCTATCATTTTTTATCGTGACCCTCGATTCACGTCACAATTATGAAAAAGTCTTCTGAAAGCGCCAGGTACTAAACTCAACTTTAGTACAACATTTCACCCTCAAACGAATGGACAATCTGAAAGGACAACCCAAATCCTAGAAGACATGATGAGAGCATATGTGATCAATTTTGGAAGCAATTGGGAGCAATACCTACCATTAATGGAGTTTGCTTATAATAACAATTATCAAGTGAGTATCCAAATGGCCCCGTACGAAGCCCTGTATGGGAGACACTGTAGAACTCTAGTATGTTGGACCGAATTAAGTGACCAAAAGCTTGAAGAACCCGACCTTGTTCGAGAAATTGAAGAACAAGTTCGTCTGATTCGAGAGAGACTGCAAGTGGCTTCTGATTAAAAAAAATCTTATGTTGATTTGAAACGTCGTGAGATCGAATACAATGTGGATGAAATGGTGTTTCTAGAAGTCTCGCCATAGAAAAAAGTGCTACGATTTGGTAGGAAGGGAAAACTGAACCCAAGGTATATTGCATCCTATCGAATCACTGAACGTGTGGGACCAGTAGCCTATCGGTTAGAACTTCCACCAAAACTGAACAAGATTCACGATGTATTTCATGTGTCAATGTTTAAACGTTATCGTTCTGATCCATCGCATATCTTGACCGATGAAACTGTAACTGTTGACAAAAGTGTGACATATGAAGAAGAACCTGTCCAAATTCTGGCACGAGAAATCAAGGAACTGAGAAACAAATCTATGACTCTAGTCAAAGTACTATGGGGAAATCACTCGACTAAAGAAGCGACATGGGAAACCGAAGAGTCAATGAGAATACAATATCCAAATCTCTTCAACTAATGACTTAGGTAATTTCGAGAACAAAATTATTTTAAGGCGAATAGAAATGTAACGCCCGAAAATAGGCTTATCAGAATTAATTAATTAATTAATAATTAAGTAATTAGTGAAAAGGATCCAAAAATAAGTGATTTATAAAGCTTGTCAATAAATAATGAAAATTATATCATTTTGTAGAATTTGGCTGTCTGATCGCAATGGTTCAATCAGATTTCAATTCGGATAAATTTAGACCAAAAAGTGTATGCCGACTGAAATCAAAATTAGTCCCAATCAGGGAACGACGTGTAAATCTCGTAGAAGCTGATTTCTGCCGATTGAAGATTGGCTAATTGATTTCTGACTCAGCATCCTATGTCTTCTCGTCCATCATCTTCCTATATAACCAATACTCACTCCTCTCATTTCTTCACCATTCTCCTTCTTTCTTCTTGCTGTGAGTTCCTTGGAGTGTGAAGAGTGTTGTAGTGCTGTCAATTTGGTGTGAAGTCGCCGGAGCTAGTCACAAACCTCGTCAAAAGTTTTGCCCGAAAATTCTCAAAACCTTCATTTAAGCTCGAGGTAAGCCCATAGATATATCTAGCGACTAGAATGTTCGTATAGATTTTTTTTACGTTCATAAACGGTCGTTTGGTTGAGTTTTGTGTTATACATGTTTGAAGAACCAAGAATCATAAACTTTGAAATTGTTATTAAAACTACGAACTAATGATACCAAAATGATCTGTGAACCTTGGAGAACATTTCTGTATAGTTTAATTGAAGTTTGGTTACTAAAAAGGGTAATTTCAAAAATGGATCCGAGGAAGAAGACGATGTACAGGAACTTGCAGAAAACCTTTGGATGATCGACCCTAAAGGGTAGATCGATCACCTAGTGATCGATCACCAGCTCTGGATTGATCCCCCAACTGGTTGATCCAAATATTTTTCTGAAAATACTATTTTTGAGCTCTAAAATCCTATTTTTGATTCCAATCAATTATGATCTATATAAAGATGATTTCTCAAAATAAAAATGATATTTTGACAAATAAAAACCTTATGTGATGTATGACAGTAAGCTAGGGTGTTAACACTTGACGCTACACCGCTATTTAATTTGTTATTGGATATTATGATGACTATTATTGATTGATGATTATAATGAATATTATTGTTTGATGATTATGATGATTAAACTTTAATAAATATTCTGATTAAAGTAATGATTATAAATGATTAAATCATGACTAAAAATAGATATATTGATAATTATGAGTATGATGTCTAATGTTAAGGGTATCTAGAAGAACTCTAAGATATACCCATTTAGATTATTGATGTTGATTATTAAGGATATCTAGAAGAACTCTAATATATACCCATGTGACCAATTTGGTAATCTGGGGTTAAAACGTACGTACGGGATCCAAACCAAACTCGAGGATCACTCGTTTGCGGATATCACCCACCTGACAGTTCACTGATCGGTTGGTACGTGATCCATAAGACTCAGAGAATGGATCATCGATTCTTGTATTCTGCCTTATACTATTTATAGTTTAAGAGCCCGGTTAGAAATATTGCCTTAGACTAGGAATAGTTTAAGAACTTGTTATCAAAATGATTTGGCTTTAGATTAAGAACAATTTAAGAGCACTGTTGAAATACTGAATATTGAATATACCATGAAATGACTTGAATTAAAATATTGCGAATATCATTAATGATAAATGCTTGAATTGAATATTATGTGCATGATATCAAATGATTTGATTATGAATTGAGATTCAATTTATACGGATGTTCGATGCATTAGATATCTTTACTTAGCTTTACCGCTGAGCGTGTAGTATGTTTTATTTGCTACACGTAGGTAAACAAAGAGAATGAAGTGATGAATTCCCAGAGGCAGATGGGGCGAGCTGGTCGGAATGGATGTGTGAATTTGAATTACTGTTCTGAAAGCCATAAATTTATTATGTTCTGTAATTATGATTTATTAAGCTTCCGCAACCTTAAATACTCCGTATATCTTCTGAATAATTTATTATGATATAAAGTTTAAAAATGCGTGAATCGTTTTGAATGTTTACAAATACCAAGTTTATACTTTAGTCCGAAAGGGGCTGCAGACCTGAACGGATTAGGGTGTTAGATGGCATCATGCCTTGTGGCATTTGTGAATTCACATTGTGGCAATAGATACATGCATTTGTGACATTATATTTTGAGATGTATGACATTATGTGCTGTCGTGTTTGCCATTATGTAGTTTCTTTGGCAATACTTTTGGTTTGGCATTATGCTTGTGAATTTACATCGTGGCATTATGCATTGCCATGTGTGAGATTATGTGATGTCATGTTTGTCTTTCTTTTACACTATATTGACAATGAATGTGACACTGCGGCGACGATGATGTAAATTGTGATGCTAGTGTGGAAAAAATTGTAGAGAGCAGTGATGTCGGTGGTGATAATGAAAAATCAATAGCGAGAATGGTGGGTTTTTTTTGCAGCAGCGCATTGCCGACGGAGCAAGACATGGCAACGGCAGATGTGATCCCTCATTGATGCATACACATGTAACATATGTATGTTGCAGAGATGATACATGTGTCCTGCTGTGATGCTGGAAACTATGGCTGCTGTTCCTGGCCGGTCTGGTTACGTTGGGGGGTTGCTTTTGCGTTTTGCACCCCAAGTCTCTATGAAAATTTGAGAGTGCTTTTATAGTGCACTTGGATGCATATCAATTTTGTGCACCTTCTCACATAAATTTTTTTTCTATTTTTTATTTACAAAACAATGTTAATCAAGGTAGTACGAATTTGCTTATTTTTCTCATATGTAGGTCCACGGTGGACCTTAAATCCACCATAAAATTAAAGGAGCGGCGCATGCGAGAATTGTTATTAACTCCTATTTTGAGGGTTTTATATCTTTCAACTCCTATTTTGAAATTTAATCAATATTTTGCTCCTATTTTGGTCCTTAAGCCTTTATATATTTCCAAACGATTACATACTTCTCCCGTCTCAAAATGTTTTACATTTAACGTAAAACGAAACAAAATTCTAAGGTTTTACATTTATTTTATTTGAAGGTTAGTATAGAAATTAAAAATGCAACTTACATATTTAGAAACTCCGTTAATAGTTCTATAAATAAGAGGCAATAAAAATACTATATTTTATCAAATAACCAAGCAAAATACACAAATAAAAATACATTTTCGCAAATTTTAACAACGAAGAGTAGTACGGATTAATTCTTGATGAACGATATGGGATGAGAGAATCATAACGATATACCGTAATAATTAAGTAATCTGGAGTACATCCCATCATACAAATAAACGAAGCAATAAAACACATATAATATATATTTATATAAGGTACAATCAGTTGTACGGTGTTTTTCGTACATCCACGGCGAGTACTCGTTTACGAGTAACTGGATGCTCATTGTCGATTAGCTGGATACTCATTTTCAAGTAATTTATACTCATTTTTCTTAAGTTCATGTATGTTCGAAAATGAGTATTCAATTATACAAAAATGAGTATTCAGTTATTCGGAAATGAATATTCAATTACTTGAAAATGAGTATTCATGTAGATAGAGGGAAAACATCTTATACCCCGATGTATGTTATAGGTACTTCATCCAAGTGGACATCACCAACAACTTATTGTTTGAACTTTATCCATTTACTTATAAGCAGCAGAAGCAGCAGCGCTCACCAATTTTTCCGATAAAGTGATAGATGGCGGCGCAGATGTCTTTGCAACTGCACATTTTATGATAAAAGGATTAAGCTATATGTACACTAACATTTATATTCTAAAGGCATGCACTGACATTTTGTGTTAGTGTGATGCTAGTGTTATGATTTACATTAACAAAAAATGTCAGTGTAAATTTTTTTAAGTGAATTAATATTTTGTTCCAGTGTGAACCGTTAAAATATTGGTGCATTTCTTTAGGATACAACTTGAGGCACACTTTTTGATGTGCTCCTAGCATGGTTGTTTTATCTACAATAAAATTATACAGTAAGAATACGATAGGTAGATTAGTAGTGAATAAGTATGACGATGTGATATATCACAAAAAATAGTACTACCTCCATCCCAGAGTATTTGTCTAGTTTTGACTTTTTTCAGTCAATCGCTTTTAACATTTGTTCTATAATTAAATAAAATATTTAAGATAAAATAAAATAATTTATATTTTGATAAAATAATATTTTGAAAATATTTTATATAATAAATATAATAAAACTATTTTTGTATCAATATCTAATATCATTTTTATTTAATTTGATTGGGGTCAAAATTTATCAATTTTGACTGGAAAAAGTCAAAAGTGAACAAATATTTTAGGACGAAGAGAGTAATAGTTAAACTTGTTTTTTAATACTCCGTGCAAAAGAGAGATTTTTTGGGACAAAGAAAAAAAACGGAGGAAAATTTTAAGGATAGGGGGATAGTAACTTTTGATGTTGTTTTTTAATTAGTAATTAAGTTTTACTCTCTCCGTTTTTAAAAATCATCCTTATTTTGAAGGAGCGTGCATTTGTGGTTGTCTTTCCATTTTTGCTTTGATATGAAGGATAAAAATAAGATGTGATGAGTCGATTATTAGTGGAAAAGTATGATATAATATGTAAGATAAGAAAACTTGAGGTTCTCGCAGCAAATGGCAAAGACTAATCCGGATTGCTGTATGGCATTTGGAGAGCTCGGAATAGGAAGCTGCATGGCAAAGATTATGATTGTTCTTGTACTACTGAATTTGTTATGAAGCTTGTAGTTACTTGCAGTATAAAGGGGTTAGACTACAAGAGATGTTTATGTGTTGAAAAACTCTGTTGTTTCGTTTGAGTGTTTATATTATTGAGGTTTTCAGTTCAAAATAAAAAAAGAAGGTGGAGGTAAAAGTAATTTTTTTAATAAAAAGTAAAAGTGTTTTGATGAAACAGAAAAATATGAAAGAGGCCAGGAGCGTTTTAAAAAATGGAGGAAATAGTTTTTATTTTTACGAATTCTTAAATAAAATCAATTCAAAAAAGATGAAGAGGACGACAATTTATAGATGGAGGGACTAGTATTATTACTTCCTCCGTCGGGGAATAAAGTTCTTATTAGATTTTTGGTCATTTTTAATGGATATTGACTTTGGGATGGAAATGGCCACACAACCACCGCCGGCTCCCAATCGCCCTATCTCCAACATCACAATCAGCCGCACGACAACCCGATCTACCAGCATCAGCCTAACCATTAACCCAGCCCAAACCAACACTGTAAGCTCCACCCGATCGATCTACTAATTTTTAACTTACATATCATATCATACCTTTTTACTAATAATCTACCTATTACATCCTACTTTTTTGAAAAGTCAACACAAAATTATTTATCTCTTAAATATTTTAAAAGTCAATGGGAACGTCTTTGTGAGATGGAGGAAACATTATTTACCAATCTCTTGTCCCCTTTGGCATGATGCTTCCCTGAGACTTCTGGTACTTCTCTATCTCCAATGGAGAATCGGTAGTCGGATAACCTTCAAGTTTAATTAATTTCCATTCCAAGAAAATAAAAAGAAGGTCAAGAGACAGCTAGGTATAATCAGAATATGCGAATATTTAAGAACTAGCTAACTTATTGAGTGTTTTTATTCCAAAACAACTTTAATTGAGATTTAAATGAAAAAAAAACTTCAAATAAGTTCAATTTCAATATATTTCGTTCATGGTAAGAAAAAAAACCCCCCGAACTGTATAATGTCACAAACTAACCATGCATGAGTTAAATACATAATGAAGGAAATGTGCTTTAATTTGTAAGGTTTATATGTACCTTCAGGCAGCTGCTGCTTTGCAAGCAAGATGGTCTTGACCACTTCTAATTCCATTTTCGCCATCACAGCTAGGAGCGCTTATTTCTCTTTTACTTTAACCAATTCAATTAAGTTCGACCGGTAATTAATTTGATTTGGTTATTGTAATATAATGCCTTAATTACACCATCATTTCATATATATATATATATATATATATATATATATATATATATATATAGTAGTCCCGGCCCTTTGTTTGGGAAAATACTTCCTCTTTCATTTTTTTTCTTTTCATCCCAAACACTTCCACTTTCTATTAAAAATCATTTTTAATCATACTTTTTATTACTCTAATAATCTATTCATCACATCTTAGTTTTATTCATTACATACATCAAGAATAAAATTGGAAGTCACAATAATAATGATAATGATAATGATAATGATAATGATAATGATAATGATAATGATAATGATAATGATAATGATAATGATAATGATAATGATAATGATAATGATAATGATAATGATAATGATAATGACAATGACAATGACAATGACAATGATAATGATAATGATAATAATAATAATAATAATAATAATAATAATAATAATAATAATAATAATATTGTACTCCCTTCCGTCCAATTTTTTTTCCTATTTTGACTTTTTTTGTCACGGAAATTTACTTCATATACAACATTACTAGAGACAGATGCGAGACCATAAGACTCCAACGGCCAACGACGAGAGCAGGACGACAAGGGAGTGTCACGAGACTCCCAATGATTCTTTGAGACCAAGACAACAGCTAGGCGACAAGCGAGTCTGTAAGGGATATAAATAGCCCTAGGCATTAGCCTTGTAGTATAACACCCTAATCCGTCTAGGTCTGCGGCCTTTTCGGACTAAAGTATTAACTTTGTAACGTAAAAGTTCCAAACATTTAAAAACTTTATTTCAAACAATTGTACAAAATATTTCATAATTACATCGAAAAAAATTATTTAAAATAGCGCGGAAGCAATTTGTAAACTACAACAGTATTGTCAACCCATGTGATAAAATCATTTACTTAAATAATACTCCATCTCAGTATTCTCCAGAATAGGCTCCACATTTATTTCTCTCATACCTACGTGTAGAAAGATGAAAAAGTCTACACGCTCAGCAATGAAACTGAGTGGTACCATGGCACAACAAAAGAATTCAAAGAATAATTTCTTAAACAATACTATACCAATCACATATATATGTTCAAATATTCACTTTTCATATTTAAATCTATCTTTGTTATTTTAACAATGATAACTAACAGCATCATTCAAATTAAACTTATAAAGGAATCAGTCAACAGTTCACAATAATCACATGTCATTTTTATCATCAGAATATTCACAATAATCACATGTCATTTTTATTATCACAATATGTGTATAGAATAGCTCCAGTGGCTTTAACGGAGACGATCACTTGCGGATTGTTCTCCATACAATAAGGAGTAGAATAGATGAAGAAGAAAGAAGTTTGGTGTAGGGATAAAGGAAAACAAGTGTTTCTTATATAGGCAAGAAGAAAGAAATGAAACCAAAAATGTCACTGCTCCAAATCTTTAGTTCGACGAAAGTGGAGTTATTGGGATTTTTATGCGATTCTGGGAGGTTTTACCCGCCTCTCAGTGATTATGACTTATTTGTATCTCAGTTGGTGTATATTTTTTTGTCTAATTTTCTCCAAATTAAAATCTAATTGTATTGTTGCAATCAGACAATCAAGTTCTACGTAACAATACAATTTTCATATTTTTCTGAAATACTTTTTCTGACACCATATTTTTGGGTATTGACTTTGACAGTCAAAATTGAATTAATTGACATAAAATTAAAAGTACTCTCATATTCAATCAATATTATTCAATTTAAATAATTTATTTCTATAAATCATTTTACAAAAGTTCACATATTTAACCACTTTTCATTTTTAAGCAAATTACATATTTAAAATGTCACAACTCAAAATCTGTACATCAGATTTATTCATAAAATATACCGTTGGATTATTTGTCTCTTCGAGACCTATCCATAAAACTCAATTTTAACAAAAAAACATTGACTCCAAAGATTCCTTCATTTTTGGTCAAACATAGAAATAATATTTTGTTGGGTCAAAATATTGTTTTGAAATTCTTTTATCATAAAATAACTTTTAGGCCATGTTTTGTGGCGTTACATGTAGGGGATCCGAATATAATCTAATAGTACTCCTACTTTGCACTCTCTCTCTATCTTCATTTTCCTAGCTTACGCAACTCACCGACCCCACGATCGACATACTCGGTGGTTTATTATCATCAAGAAGTAGTAGTAATAATACTTCCTCCGTCCATAATTAATCTTCTCGCTTTGACTCGGTGCGCAAATTTATGTGGAATGAAAATAACTTTGACTTTCCAAAACTACCCTCCAGCTAATCTTCTCCACTGGTCTGTCACCACACAACCTTCTCGTCCTCTCCAACTTCTCCATCCGAGTGTGAAGCTTCACCTTCCTTCCGATTCAACTCACCACCATCAATTGTTGCTCCTCTGCCACCACAGCAAGTAGTGGTCACCATCTCGATCTTCGTCTTAGATTTAGATTGGAGTCCTAAAATTTGCAGAGATAGGATACAACCTTATTATGAGATCCATCCAAAATCGAGCAAGGTTACTGATGGACAATAAACCCACCGAATGATCCGATTTAGAAGAATGGATCACAAGAAGTAAAATAAGAACGAGAACTCGAGAATTATATGTGTGTATTATTAGCTTGATTCAGCTTGAGGATTCCCCTTTCGGGTCCCCTCTATTTATACATAGCTTTCGGATAATTAATGTAATTCACAATTAAAGGTAGTCTACTCCGCCGATGGCGCGATCCCCTTTTTCTGGCTTGGTCTCCGTCCTTCAGTTGAGTCTCCTTCGGCAGATTGGCTCTGCCAGCTGTCTTCCGAGTTGGAGTGGTCTAGGCCTCGCGCCTTGGGCCGGCCCACATCCAAGCCCTCACTGCAAGCTTTACCCGGTGCCTTTTGGATGATCGGTTTGGGCCGGCCGTTGGATATCGGCCCATCACAAGCCCCCCAACTCCTCAGTCCTCAAACGGGCCACATTGAGGGATGGGGAGTTTACGAGGTCCATGTGGGTGCTCCCGCACGAATTCGGGCCGTTCCCTGGGTCTCGCGTGACGTTTGGCACGATCTCCACTAAAAGTAATCATGGCCTGCTGTTTCGTCTTCCCACATTCTGATAAAACCGCCGCTAGACGCCATTTTTCCCCCATTTGCTTCACTTGCCTCTTCACCTGTCCTTCCGCCGTTACCCGACCCGTTTTCCTCCGACTTCAAGTCAGTTCCCTCTTTCACCATCATGATTATCTTTGATTCCGATTCAGCTTCCCCATCGTCCAATTCTCGCCAAGCCGATCAATCGGCCTCTGGCCATGACCAAGGTCTGACCCAATCGCCACGGCCATCGCCGGCGGCCGTGCCCGGCCAAAAGCGGCGCCGGCTGAGGAAGCAATTTCCTCCCTCGACCCCGGCACGTGGGGGCTCAAGGGTTAGGCTGGATGAGAACATCATGGTGTTGTGCCATTGTCAAATCACTAACCGGGGGTTCGCCGATGCCACTGACATGGTCGGACCCTCTATTGACGTCCTACGGCCCACTAGCACCCAAACCGCCCTGGACGCTCCTTCAGGGTTCTTTAGAGTTCATCTGGCATCTCTGAAGAAGGGGTTGCGGTTCCCTCTCCACTCGCTGTTGATTGAAATCCTCAACGAGGTGGACCTCCTTCCTTGCCAACTGTGTTAGCCTTGGTTTGCTAAGCCTCATGTTTTGATGTTAATAAACAATATAAGAGCTTAACGTTTGTTTAAGTGTTTCAGGAAAAACAAGAATCCATTAAGATTCGGTACTCAAGAATGAAGTCGAAACACTAAACTAGCGTAGAATATAGGTAGAAACCAATGTAAGGATATAACTTTATATACCTATATTCACAAGCTCAAAAGCACTCACAAAATATGTTTAAAACCATCCCATAAACATTTTCAAACATCTAAAAGGTTTTAAACTCAAACACGAAGGATTAAGGATATTTTGAAAAACGCAGGATTGTAGCACGGGACCCCCCTACCGTCTGGACGGGACCCCCCTACCGTAAGGGGTACCGTACTAAGATAGGTACCGCCAGAGAGTTTTGGCATGAGAAGGTACCTAGCTACCGTAAGCACGGGACCCCCCTATCGTATGGACGGGACCCTCCTACCGTGACCGTTAGGTTACTGTTCCTGATTTGTGATTTTGAATTAAATCAACCCTAATCACCTCCCAACGGCTAATTAACATCTTCCACTATAAATACAAGCCTAATCCTTCATATTTCTTTAAGAAACAAAGCTCTAAACATCCTCTCTTTTTATTCTATGTGTGTTCATCCTTTTATTAATTATTTTTAATATTTTGGCTATTTTAAGAGCCTTAAATTCTTGATTTTTATACACACACATTGACCTTGTGTTTCTAGGTATATACTCTAATATTCATAAGTTTATATTGTATTTTTGAGAGAGTATAATTTCCTTCTACACCGGCTAAGTTTTGTTCTTCATTTTTATATTCTAGCCGTTGTGTAGAATCTTTGTTCGTGTTCTTCAAACACACCTTCTTACGGTCGAGAATAGCCGTTAAATTCTCACGTTATAACGGTCAAGGATAGCCGTAAAAATCCTTGGGTAGAGGTTTAAGGATAGCCTTTGAAATCCTTGGGGGAGCGGTAGAAGATAGCCTTTAAATCTTCATTGTAAACGGTTCGAGATAGCCGTGTTGAAATCTCGGAGTGAATCCTATTGGCAAGGGTTATTTGCAAAACTAGTGCGGTGCTTTGACGGAGTTCAAGAGACCGGGACTTAGTGGATTCGGAAATCCTTGAAGAGGAGCCTCGAGGTACTGGAGTAGGGAGTTCCCGAACCAGTATAAAATCAGTGTGCATTTTATTTACGCTTTTATTTCTGCGTTTTATATATTGCTTCTGCATTTGCCAACACCGTTTTTGTTAAACTCCGAAAAGATTTTAAAACGCCTTATTCACCCCCCCTAAGGCGTGGGCACAAC